TTTTTTTGTTTTTCCTTTTCTTACTTGCGTGCAGGGCCTGGCTCCACTTATCAGCACTTGCAGAAAAGAAAAACGCATGGCCTGTATGGATCCAGTTTCTAGGAGAAATTTCATTCTAGTTTTGCACATTTGGTGAGTAGTGGAGTGAAGCCCTCAAAATCACATGCCGAGTTAGTAAGTCAGTAACCCATTACTGCTGAAACACGGACCTGAAATCGAAGCTACACCATATGTAGCTGGCCTACTCCCTCCTTACTATGAGTCCAGTGACGAAGGGACCCTTGCCAATATTTGGCAGGGACCTTTTGAAGTACTGGCAGGGGTTGTCTGAATAATGTGAAAGGGCTATGTGCTCTCTCTCTCTCTCTCTCTCTCTCTCTCTCTCCAGCGTGTATACACATCACTGGTGCTTTTTTTTTTGCTTTTTTTTTTTTCGCGCATCTGCGATCAGCGCACTGCACTGCACAGCGCACCTCACATATGCGCCACAAGTATGAGCCATCCTGGTTCGTTCTCTGTAGCACCTATACCTATACCTGTATCACAGATAAGTCTTTTTGAACGTTTTTTTTTCTTTCTTTTTCCACCTTTTGGACTTCTTTCGATAAAAGGGGTCCAGTGCGAAATACAAACTTGGGTCTCTGAGAGAAACAGTGCATCTCTGGTGCCCAGAAAGGGTATACAACATTCCATAAACCTGGCCATTATTATGCATAGGAATTATAAATTTATAATCGAAATTTGAAACATCTTTTCCATTTGGTATCTTGAGATGATTGTGATGTTCTTGCTGAAATGGCCATTTCAGTGCAGCAAATTTGAGTGGTGCAAGGCTAGCCCATCATGTTTAGTAGATTAGTGCTACCATCTTCCCCCGAACACAATGCACCCTCATTTTGATTGAACTGGGACGGAAACATACCTTGTATATGTTCATTTTCAGGCTGCGTTATGTTCAGGGGAAGAAGGTAGGTGCCTGCACCCCGCCTGCCTTCAGCATGCTTTCCCATCTCTTGGTGATGCCCATTTCTTAGTGATGCGCATCCATTTGCATCTAGAAGTTCTGCATGGGGAACAGGAGGCGGCGAGAGAAGGAAAAGCAAGACAAGGGACGCAGTAGGAAAAAAGGGGGCGGGAAGAAAATAAAGGGCAGCGGCCATCTACAGCTCAGGTTGCCCATTAAAATGAATAGAGAAGCGGCGATGGTGAGTTCCAACACTCGCAGAATGGCAAAAAACAGTTCGGGGCCTTCGGGAACCAAAAGCAAAGTCGCGATGACAGAAAAATGAGCGTACAAAAGGCAACATGCACAAGCACAGGAATACACTACCGTCTTCCGCCGAACACAACACACCCTGATAATGAATGTATACAAGCCAACTTTCGGTCCGATGCAGGCAAAATGAGGGTGCGTTGTGTTCGGGGGGAAGGCATAAGCAGGTCAGCATGTCAACTGAAAATGACTGACAGCCAACGATGGTTTGTCGAAAGCAGGGTTCCGCATGAAGTATACGGAAATATGGCTAGAGAAAGAGTCGTCCATTGCTGCCAAACCTGCACTCAAAAATTTGCAAGCAAATGTCAGAGGACATCTGAAGCGAAGGAAGAGGCATGGTTCAGGACTCTACCAAAAGTACGAAAAAAAAAAAACATCAAACCACAAGATCGACAAAATTGGAGAGCGGTTATGCAACCTACAGCATGTTTGCTACTTATGTGCAGTCCAGCACAAAGTGATGCCGCATCCCCCCTCTGCATTTGGCATACCTGTAACCATCCTGATGACAAGGATCCTTGTCATCTAAATACAAGAAGAGGAGTGTGCACAAGAAACACGCCAGCGACCTCACTGAAACCTTCGAGCCACGATGCCGTGTCTCACATGATCCTACCCAGCTTCTTCTTCTTTTTCTTCTTTTTCTTCTTCTTCTTCTTCTTCTTCTTCTTCTTCTTCTTCTCTTTCTTTTAATCAAAACAGGTCCTTATGGTCCTGGCTCCTTGTCCATTCTGGGGAGCGTCAGTCCGGTTCCTATTCCCCCGGCAAGTCGAATTGAAATACATAGACTACACGCTCACGCTTCCTTCCGTTTGGCCGAAGGATCCCTGACCAGCATTGATTACTCCAGAAACTGGAGGATTGACTGTCAGCTTGCCCTACCCACTTGATCCTCTCAGGCTCCAAATCAGGGCCTGTCAAATAGACATCTGCAAAACAAGAACAGTGAGAGGTACACGGCTTCCAATTGAACCCGTACGTCTTTCCCAACCCCTGTTCGTCAGGCTGCTCGTCGAGCAGTTCCTCCTTCTTGGACTTTGTGGCGTTCCGTTGCTCAACAGGCTAAGACCGATGCCACTTCTTCCGTACCTGGTCCAGCCTGTTGTCCATGATGGTAGCGACCTTGCCTCTTAAAAACAACCAGTCCTTCAGGAATGCCCGTCTTTTGGCTCCGTGCTTTTCCGGTCTGCGATGTTTTTGGATGAAGATATCTTTCGCCATCTGCTCCGGATCTCGGTCTCTGCCATGTTTAGCAGAAGGGTCCACATTTGCTCTCTTCCCACCTCTGTCCCCTCGATTGTCTGCGTGCATCTGCGTTTCCATATGACCCAGAGGGCCAATTTTCTGAGTAGATTGAACCAGACTTCCCCCTGCTGCCCTTGATGTTCCTGGGGGTGTTGACGAAGAGTAGGATAGTTAGAGAGGGGGGGGGGGGTTGGGAGGTGGAGTTGAGAAGAGGATTGGCCACAGTTCCCGAACCTTGTTCCAGATCCAGGCCGCTTCCGGCGGGCAGAAGAGAAGGCAGCGAGGGATGTCTTCGGGTATGTTTTTTTTTTTTTTTTTCCCTGTAAAACGAACAGAACCTTAAGGTTCTGGCTCCTTTTCCATTCTGGGAAGCATCAGACCGGTTCCTATTCCCCCGGCAAGTCAAAAATAATACAATGGTTACCAACTCACGCTCCTCCCCCTGATGGCGTGGAGGCCCTGAAGACGGCATTGATTACTTCCTTGACGAAGGATGTACCGATCTTCACCCCTGCCTAAATTGGCCTGTTCAAGACTGTTGTTGACTTTGGTGACTGTAACTGTTTGCTGCTTGTATTTGCTGGCAAAAATCACGTCTCTTTTTCAGTCTGTATTTCTCTGTCGACTTAACCTGTGGGATGCCTATCCTTTTCTAGGACCGTAGATGGGGCATGTCCCTTTGCTCTACTTCCGGACTCCCTGTGTGTAGTTGTGATGGAGGATGTCGTCTACGGCTAAGACCCTGCACCCTAGCTTTTGACTCTTCTGACATTATTTTCTTCTCCTGGGGGTTGTTCCTTGAATGTATCAAATCATTCAAATGTTGATAGGTGTTCTACTTGAAGCCTGGGGTAGACTCTAACTGTAGTTGGTGGGATAGGAGGGGGGTTGGCAGGGATAAGAAACTTTAGATAGGTGCTAATTGTGTGGGATGAATGCTAGAGGGGTGTAAGTTGGTTTGTGATTACTCGGATGTTTCTGGGGTATCGAGGAGGGGTGGTTGTAGGAGGCGTGTGTGGAAGGGGGGGGGGGGGGGGGGAGATTGCTCCTATGTCAATGGTTGGGTGTTATGAGGTTGGTTTGGTATCAATAATGGCTGGGATATAGGTGGTGGTGGCTGGCCAGGAATTGTTAGTATGCGTAACCAGTTCTTGAGGGTGAGTCTGTCATTATTTATTGTGCCTAGCTTCCCTTGTCCTTGTTTGAAAGTTATGAATTTTTTGTTTTTTCCACTTTTTTTATCGGGGTCGGTAAGGAGTTGGTTGAGTTGTTTTTTCCAAAGGGCGTGAATTTCCGTGTCTATTAGCTGTTTTATGGCATTGATTGGGTCCTCTGGGGAAGTGAGGCGGTCATCGGAAGTGCTGTCACATCTGTTTCTCCATATGGTCCAGAGAGTGCTTACATGGTCTTACCCAGGACCTCTCTCTCTCTCTCTCTCTCTCTCTCTCTCTCTCTCTCTCTCTCTCTCTCTCTCTC